CTCGCGCACACCGGCGGCTGCTGGCTCGTGGAAAGAAAGTGCGCCATTTATTATGGCCACTAAGTTCCTTGGTTAAATATCCCTTTAAAGGGGCAATGCAACGATTTTTGTACTTTACGCAAATATCGCTTAGAACGAATCCCTGACGTTAATGACCCATGAACCACCTGTTCGTTTTTCACCACATGAAATAAAAGTCGCAGAAAAAATTAAACAAAAATGAAAGACATTTACAACTCCCTGTAATACCGAATTAGAGCTCAGCTCTTGAGGAGGAGGAGGGGAGGGTACGGAGGGGAAGGTATGCCCCTCGACCCCCTCTTTTCCTTCTCTCCTGCTCCCCTCCCATTTAGCGAAAAAATTTCTGTAAATTTCCCGCTAAATTTAGCGAAACTTTCTCCGCTGAATTCAGCTGAGAAATGTTTTCGATAAATTTTGCCTGAAAATGTTACCGCTAAATTAAGGGAGGAAATTTTTCTCTTCATTTAGCGGGGAAATGTTACCGCTAAATTTAAACTGCATATGTTACCGCAAAATTGAGCGTGGAAAGTTTTCCGCTTAATTTTGCGGGGAAATGTTACCGCTAAATTTAGCGGGAAAATGTTACCGCTAAATTTAGCAAAAAACTTTCCTCGCTAAATTTAGCAGAGAAAATAAGCAAACATTTTCACGCTAAATCTAGCGGGGTAATTGTCCCATAATGCAACGCGCCGTTACGCCTCCTTGCATTATTCCCATAACGCAACGCGCGCGGTTACGCCGACGGCGATGGCGACGCCGGTCAAGCCGGAAACGGGCGCCTAAGAACTGGGCTCTAAAACCAGCAGCGTTCATCCCCTCAACTCGCAGCCAGTACAAGCGCCCACGTGATCTGGAGGTGATAATATACCGCAAATGTTTATATCATAGCCACGCGCTGGGTTTGGAAAAGCACAGCACACTCGCTGAGTTCCAGGCTATTTTTATGGTTCGGCTATTGTCGTCATTGCAGCGATTGGACACGGGCCGCTACCCGAATGCTTGTCGAGCTATCGATTTTCACAAGCCCAGATGGAAAGCTCACGCAATGCTCGGGTGCCAATCTATGAGCCGCTTTCAAATGTCGTCACTGGGGGGTACTGCGATCCCCCAGTTACGCCATCAAGTTTTACGAAGGAGAGATGGAATGAAAACGCTCGCTTTTGTCCTTGAAATCACACCGGAACAAATGTCTTTCCTGGTCAGTTTCGTTGGGTGCGAGTATATTTGGGTCCCACTGGTGCCAGTAAGCTCGTGTAAAGTAAAACACATTCCAAGTAAATATTGTTGCACGGCCCCTTTGAGGGGCAAAACGATGCTCGGTTTCCTTTCATTTTTTTTTTTTTTTTGCGGATATACTGAAAGGGGGGGGGGGGGGAAACATCTAATGCGTGTTTGATAGCTTACATACGTCAGGGATTTATTCTGATTGGTAGTTATACGCAAAGAAGAAAAGTTGTTGAACCGCCCCCTAAGGCCCTGTCACACTAAGGCAACACGATGGAAACAGCAACACAACACGTTGTCCAACAGTCGAGCAACTTGTTGTTCGCTCCCCGTGTTGTCCGACAAACCTGTCACATCGCGGCAACAGTACGACAATATGGACGACAACTAAAATGTTGCCTCGGTGTGACAGCTTTCGGCAACAAAAAACAGCAGCAACTTGTGTTGGACAACGTGTGTTGCCCTGATCGCTGGCTGAGCGAATTTCAGGCCGGCAACACGACAACATAGATAGCTTCGAGGGTAGGGCTAGTCCCCTATCAATAAAGTCTTACTCAAACAAAGGCTTGGAAAACGTTTTTTTTAACAATAATTAGGGCTGGCGTGCAGGTAAAATATCTTCGATTAATGTTTTTGCTGTGTAGTTACGGAAAGTGATTTTCGAAATGGTCGTGAACGCTCAGACTGTTTTTGAAATTAGAACTCCCGAGAGACCAGCTCACATAACTGACAGTGAAATAAAATGGCATGCCTACTCTAATAAAGTATAATAAAAATAATCCGGAAAAACAAATAATAAAAAATGGAAGCATGAAACGATCACTCTGATCATGATTGTTGATGCCTGAAACTTGGAAACAGCCGCTACCAGACACCTGATTTGTTTTAAAAATACCCAGGACGTCTTGGGGGAATGAAGCGATCACATAGCAGGCGGTAGGCAAGTAGACAGCTTTGAAAAATATTTATTCCACCGATTGTTATAAAGGCCGATGGTGTCAGTGTCGCAGTTTTGAAGCACTGTAAGTTCAGCTCAACACCACGTTACAAAAGACGCTTTGGGGTACTGCCGGTGCTATCGCAATTTTACAGTAGACATAGGAATTGCATGAAAGAACCGGACAGAAATACTTCGTACGGAGGCGTAAATCCCGAATATATATCAACGATGTCACTTTCCTCGGTTAGGGACATCTGCTTTGTCAGCGAATGAAGAACATTTCGATAAAATAAAGAGCGGAAAATACTCCCCATGTCAAGTTTTCTGATCACAGTCACTGGTTGATGTCGTACTGCGGTAATTCCCGGCCTTTCGAACGCACTAGCACTTTGTAGAGTCACATTTCCAGCGATTCCACGCCGCACACGAACGAAGGTAAACAATCAAGATGATTCCCCGTGTTGTCCTCGCCGTCAGCGCGGCGTGATAGGGTTGTCGGACAACAAATCGGGCAACACGGTTGCCGGGCGGCAGCAACAAATTGCCCGACTGTTGTTGTTGCCGCGGTGTGACAGGGTCGCCGGCAACACGACTGGATAGAGTTGTCCAACTGTTGCCTCAGTGTGACAGGGCCTTTAAGTCCGTGCGGAGCCGACGCTACGATTTGATGAAGTAAATCAAGCAGCACCTAATGTTGGTCGGTTTGCTCTCGCCGACTGAATCAATTAGGCACTGACTGGTCTGCGATTGGCTTCGTCGGTGCTGGGCAAACACACAACGCCAACGAGCGCCATGATGTTGCACGTTTGGAGCCGCTTGATTGGCTATGTCGGATTGTAGGGGTCGCTGCGGTCGGAGCTCTGGCGGATTATTTCCGCCGTCCCTCAACCCTCTCCGCAATCCGCTACGAGATCCCGAAGTCTGCAGACACGACTTATAGCGCCGTGCATGCGCCATACCTCTTCGTTGCGGAGAGTGCAGCGGAAGGCAAAAAGAAAAGTGTCGGCGAAAACCGGTGTTGGGAAATAGTGTAAAACCGTTCGCGAGTCCTTAATTTTTGAGAATTTCGCGAACTGATTTCGCAAAATTTAAAGGCGCGCGATAATTTCGATTTTTAAGAGTTTCAATGCAGGCATCTGAAATTCTCGAAATATAGTGACCGCGATTCTGTTGTCTGTGATCGATTCGCGAAAAAAAGGCCGCGAAAGTAAAGGGTTTTACAGTACTTTGACTACGTTGTACTTAATGTTTAAAAAAAAAGACTCGTACTTTACTCGAAGTATGTCCTCAGAGTATGTACGTACTTGTACTTTACAAAGTATTTGTTTTCTTCTGGTAATTTTCGAGGAAAGTAGGACACCTGACTTCAAGGTACATTCCACAAATTTGGTCTCGTTAAATTTGTATCACAAAGCAATGATTTGCCAACACTGAAAAAAAAAAAAATACTCGAATGCTATTCTCACCGAAAAATTCCAGCAGACGATGCATCGCTCCGTTCGTACTGGGGGCGGCTTTGCCGCAGCATCTCTGGATACTTCTCGCTCCATCAGCGCGAGCGTGAAGGTTAAGAATATTAGGAGAGGACACTCCTCCACGAGAGGGTTGCTTGCGGGAGTATACGGGGTTGGCGTACTGCTCTCTTCAAGTACGCTTAACCCTGGCGCCCTTTTCGAAAAATAATTACTTGCTTGGTTCGATTTAGTGTTTGCATGTCCCGCAGAAGCTGCATTGCTTTGCAGCGAGTGAAGCCTACCTTAGAACGCAATGGGAAGTACAGTGCCCTGCACTTTTCTGCACCGCTGCAGTTTGGTGCAAGTACACCCGCCGGCAATATGAAGGTGAACACCTTACCTGGTTTCTTGCCTGTTTTACGGCTCAATAAAGCTATATTAACTCTCAACGTCTCAAATGGTACATGGCTTGGAGGTCTGAACTTTGCGTTCTAGCCCTCTTCTGGAACAGAGCTTGTTCCAAAACTTGCAGGAGCTTCAAAAACAAGAAGAGGGCTGTTCACCTTCATATCGCTCACGGGTGTACGTACGTCTGTGGCCACTTGGCTTTATCCAATATTCGCTGCCATTTCCGAAAATAACGGAGGCATCCCCGATTACCCCTAAAGAAATGCGTGCGTAAAAAAAATAATGTGTGCAGGGGAAGGAAAGAAATCATAAAATATTGGTTTAAAGAGTACTTTCGCTGAGCTGATTTGGTTGATCGCAGAGATTGGCTCTTCGGGTGTTTGGCGGGTAAGTAGATGCGCAGGCATTTCTTAGAGTGCATTTATATACTCTAAAAAAAAGCCCGTGCGTCTGCTTTCCCGCATAGCACTTGGAGAGCCAATCAGCGCAACTTACGGAGGCAGCTCAGCGAATTACGAGGCCGAAATATATGTTTCGACCAAAAAACGCAGTTGTGATATTAAGCAATGCTAGCGTGACGTTTTGTATAGCTTAATATCACAACTCAGACTGCGATTTTTAGTCTAAACATATGTTTCGGCATCTGCATTCGCTGAACTGCCTCCGTAAGTTGCTCTGTTTGGTTCTCCGAGTGTTGTGCCGAAAAATAGACGCACGTGTTTTTTTGTGTTTTTTTTTTAGAGTGATTGTATTTTTATTTTAGTACATCGCGCCCGGTGTACTTACTACTTTACTTGAAGTTCATAACCTCTCATATACTTTCTACTTTACTTCAAGTAAAAGAACGCTGACACAAACTCCCTAAAGCGAAATGAAATATAGTGTGGGAAGTTTTGATGCCATGTAAGATTAATATTTACTTTTTCTGCCGTCGCTTTGATTTCTTCTTTCAGGAGAGCTACTTTACCAGCTCGAAGATTCGCAGCCTACGTTCATAGTCACAGAAGCCGGGCTCTTGGACAAAGTTCTCGAGGTGCGGGAGGCCGCCGGGAGCATACAGGTGAGATAAGTTTTGTTGTGTGTTTTGTTTGAAAAAAAATATGCCAGGTGTTTGAGAGAAAAAAAAAGTAAACCGTGTTTTTCTCTACATCGAAATAGACTATGCATTGCCAGATGCCCAGTGTGCGTTACAAAGAAGCGCTAGGGGTTGGAACCAGACGCCAACGTAACTGAGAAAGAATCATTATATTTTAATAAAAAATAAAATTGATTATACAAAAAATATTCTGTGCAAAAATGGGGCCTGTTGGTGGTAGCAGACACTGTCTATTTGCACGTCCGAGTGCAATGACCTGCCTAAAAATGTTGTGCCATCCGATAGAGATTCATTTTTTTAGGATGACCAATACGTTAGAAACTTGCGTCCTTGGCTGTCCCGTCCCGATGACGTATGTTATTTGTAATTGGTATGTTTATACTTTGACGGATGTATGCTGATAATCTGCGCAATTCGATTTGGTTTCATGAATATACTTTTTCTGTGTTTTGTGACTTTTTTTTTTCGCCCACTCCGCTGTTGTGAGGCCTCGGCGCTGCAGTAATTTCTGAAAATAAAGAAATAAGTAATCGCAGGCCTTGTGGGCAAGGATTTCCTAAAATTAAGTTTTTCCAATTGCACCACAACTTTTTAATCAGATAACAGTAAGGTCTGGAACTCTAGCATGGGGTCCCAGCTGCTAGCTCTTCCATTCACCATATTTCCCTTCTAAGCCCTCTCGTCAGTCAAGTAGGAAGCACCCTTCAGATCACCCAAGAGGTGCCAACATGCCCGACACGCACAAGAATAAAATTTTATTTTTATCTGGACGACGGCGAATGGAGGAGTTCGTTTACCATGGTCTTCTAGAATTTTTGCGACTGACGGGTCACAAGGAGCGTTTTTAATTAATCTTTATGGTTTCATTTTCATGAACTGTGCAACCTATGGGCCGAAATATCCTACGCCTCAATTCTTTTAAAACAGTAGTGTACCAATCTGATTGAAATTTGGGGCGACAATGCTTAACCACCACCTCTCTTCTCTTTTTTTCCTTTCATTTTCTCTGTTTACGCATGCCTTGTGTATTGTCATCGCACGGACGATAATAATACGCGTAGGCCTGCCATCCTTTTAGGTCTCAACAATAAAACGACAAAGCGCTACAATTATAATGCAATTAAATGCAAAGGTGCAAGCGAGCTGGACAAGAATGACGATAATAATCCCTGGAGAAGGGGAACAAGAGGGACGAAGGTCAAACACAAATCTCCAAACGTTTGATGGAGATAACGTTCGGCGATACGTATATTTAAGTCCAGGAGTTAAAAAAAAAAAAAAAGAAATCCCAAAAAATTGTAAAAATTATTTTTTACGTAATTGTTTTTTTTTTTGTGGCCCAATACATCACATCATTTATTCCAAAATGTATAGAGCTATCAAAGAACGCGGGTAAGAACCAGGGGCACCCACCAATACGTGTACGTGCAGAAGGAATGGGCAATTAAAAGCGCGAACAGGAATATCTCAATACACATGCGCACTGAGAGCGCAGTTCGAACGCCGAACGACTGCGTTCGGCTCTCGGCGCTTGGCGTTCGAAAGCCATACCCCACGCGAGGAGCAGACGACGCTCTTGTTTGTCCTGACCGGGAAGGATACAGTGGGTAGTGGCAGAGGCCACTACCTACTAATTCTTCCAATCTGAGCTTGGCGCTAGCTCCGACGTTATCACACGCTCTCATCTCCTCCTCTCCCTCAGTTTCCCACCGTGCTCCTTTCAGTAAAGGCTGGCTCACACAGTTGCGACTGCTTACGAACGAGTGCCTTGTGATCTCTTACGACAAGAGAACACGATGTCGCCATCGCTCAGGTAGCCGTGCATGGAACGGTTGAGATTTCCGTGCAACTCTTTTTTTTTTTTTATTTAGAAAACTTTGTTGATAGGGTTTTCAAGCGTAAATTTCTCATAGATAGTACGTTTGATATCGCAAATACTGCAAAGCTTCGCTTTAGTGAAATGCACTTTCAGGGTCAGTTCATAGATGACGCTAGCGCCCCGGTATGTTATCTCGTCGTAAGAAATCGCAAAGAACTCGGTCTTAAACAAACGCGAGTGTAAGACTTAACTCCATCAGTGTTCTTTATGCGCTTCCAACCCATGGCGCTCAGTCGCTCTTCTCTCTCTGAACCGCAGGACATTTTCCTGTTTTCGGACAGCGAGGACTACGTGACCCTGGACTCCCTTTTGGAAGAAGGCCTCGCTCTGGGGCCGGACATGCCCCCGCTGGCCCGCAGCGACCCCCGGTCCACGCCTCTGACGGTGCTCTACTCGAGCGGCACGACGGGGCTGCCCAAGGGAGTGGTGTCCACGCACTTCAACTTTGTCAGCCAGATGGTCCAGATGGGGTGAGTGTACCGCGCCCCGAACCACTCATACAGGAGGATCGCTAGTCAAGTTTCGTAACGAATCGCAGCTCGGAGTACTCGAGCCAAACTCACACTGTTCATACATTATACAGAAGACACGCTGCACACAGGCATGACGGGAGTATCTGCGGACAGTTTTTGTGTGACAAACGAAGCGGGGTCCGTCATACGAGGAAGAAGCACGCTCCAGACAGTGTCTACACGCTGTCTTTTATATAATGTATAAGCAATTTGACTGCGGCTTTAGAGTATCGGCACCTGATTCCCATACTTTATTGTGGCTGCCGCCATTTTGACGGTTGCTGTATAGCGGTCGCAAAAGACCTTCCCAAGAACCCTTACCGAAAATAGCAAGCAATATATACACTCATACGACCCATATTTTATAATACCACACAAAAGACCCGCGCGAAGGAAAAAAAAACAACAAAAAAACACGCGGTTTTATTAGCGTACATTATAATTAAGGTAGTACAGAAAAATATATCTAATTTTTAAACGTATTATTCACATAAACGACGTAAACATTGTCAGTGTTGCGCGCGAGACCCATTGATTAAAATATCACTCATTGGAAAATAATTTAAAAAAAGGCGAAGAAAACGTTGTCATTTGTGCGCAGTCCCACAGGTAAAGTATTGTGGACAAGCTTAGCCGAACATGAAATTGATTGATGCGCTCTTCATTGAGAACAATTTATTTCGTATATTCTTTAATATGGTAGTAATATACATAGATGGTATAAGTACGTATTTATTTTTCAATAGGGCATTATGGTAACAGTAAGTCGTCATTTCTTGGACTCAAAGCGTATTGGATCCGAGACGCTTGCGAACGCTGACACAGAGCTCGTTTTTCATTCGAGCTGAGCCTAGTCCTCACCGAATGATGACGCAGCCCTCGCGTCCAATACATGCTCAGAGTACGTGCTCAAATTATGGCGGACTTGGACCATTGGCGTAGAAAAATACCACATCCTGAGCTTCAGATACGGCGTCAGGAAGCGCGGGCGATATCCCGTCCCTCTGTCAAGGTACCTTTTAACATTTCTGGAGGACCGATAAGCGTTTCTTTCAGTTTAAGTTCAAGCTTTAGATTACTTGCTACAATTAGTTTGAGCTCTAAAATGGCTGAAATAGCGTTACTCGGAAGCGTACTTGATATAAGTGGTCTAACTGAACCCGGTAAATGCGCCAAGCATACGGCGCATTGATGGAGACATGAACCATCTCTTGACAATAGGAAAGCACTCTGCTGCACCCCTGATACTGTGGCGTCATCGAGGCCACGTGCCAAGGGCAAAAAATCCCTGCGGTTGGCCCTATAAATGCTATGCATTTAAAACATGTCCGCGACATGTCCGCTGGTTCCACAAGGTTGCCGGCGAACTAGCCATCATAAACAGCGTGTTGTTCAAGGGCAATCTAGTCGTCAAATTCGAATGGAGATCTTTGAGAGGCTTCACCGGGGTCAACAAGATGCATCCAAATGCCGCGCCAGAGCACGAGAATCAGTCTGATGACCGGAAATTGACCACCACATAGACGGCTTCGTCCGAAGGTGCCTTGTTTGTCATGACCACCGAAAAACAGGTCAACCGCTGCTTTTGGAGACTCCACTACCAAACTGGGAAGTCATCGGATTGGAGTTGTCCGTTCATGAAGGCAGTGCCTACCTAATTGCTCATGTTGCCCTGACACCTCCTTACACCATATCTACAGCCTCAATGAGTCACATTTCAACACCATAACTGTGGCAAACGTTAGTCACGAGCAGTCCCACAAAACTCGTCTCATGTAACCCCAATTAAAACAGCGAATGCCGTGGCTGCATCGGAGAATAGAATGCGGGGAGATAATATATTAAGCGTATAAAATATTTTTATAAGTATGCGTTAGGTCGTTATTTACAACCCAGTGCACTTATAACTCTAACAAAGTTTGTAATCTGATTGGCTTAAAATTGTGTTCCAGATGGATGATTCGGGTTCGTATGTTCTTCTACAAGGTTGTAAATGGCTGTCTAGACTCACCAGCGCTACTGAACTCTGTATGTTTTCGAGTTTCTCAGAGAATAACCCGTGTTTACTCCTTATTTTATCTTTTTCCTTTGCACAAAACTCATCCCATGAGTCGTTTGCAACTGGTTTTCAACAAAGTTGAATCTAGCTCAGGTAATCTTGATAGTGATATTCTTAGACAGAAAGGAAAATTTCGAGGGTACACTGATGTTTTATTTATTTATTTATTTATTATTTATTTATTTATCCCCAAGGTCCGAGGACATTACAGAGGGTAGTGGGAAGTACAAAGAAATAACAACAGGCAAAATAAGCACAGTCATATATAAAAAAAATATAAAAAAGTTAGAGCATCTTTAAAAATGCATAGGTTATCAATGGTGGCAATATCATGAGGAAGGTGGTTTCATTCGACGGAAGTGCGCCGAATGAATGAATAGTGCATTAATGTTGCATGGAAAGACGCCCACTTTGTTCTTGTGATCTAAACGACGGGAAATGTAATATGGAGTGGTTAGTAGATTATGACGCATGGCCAGATTATGATAAATTTTGTGAAAAAGGGACAGACGAGAATATTGTCTACGTAAAGCAAGAGTGGGTAATGATAACGATAGCTTTATGGAGGTTTTTTCATGGGATGTTTTTCAGTGCACCACTAAAGAAACCCCAAAAAGACCTTTCCAATAGTGCACGTGCGCCGATAAAGAAAAATTAATAGTTTTTTATATTACTAACAGGATGAGACATATCTTCCCTTATTTCAGAAAGCCTGTCAAATCGCGAGAGAACGTGGGCGCTGTGAAGGGGAAGGAGGTCACGGAAGAGGGCGCGCCTGGGGGGTTCCTTGGGCAGCGCCAAACAATGCCTCATCGGTACAGTAAGAAAACGCAAACGCGCTCCGTTTTTTCTTTTCTAGAAAGGAGAACATTTTGCGTCAACCCTCTCCTGTTTCTCCATGTGCCGGTAGGCTCTTTTTTTTTTTCTCCGCTCCGGTTCTTTGTTTTACGGAGAGTCCACTGCGCGTATTTTTGACGCTGAGTGAGCGGTTACCCCAGAAGTGGCTGTGCGCTGCCATATCGGTATCCGCTCGGCGCTGCTCCTCGCCTCTTTCCGGCGGTTGGGCGTTTAGTGGCTCCGTCGCGGAATAGGGAGTATTCACTGGCGGCCATAGCTGTGTGCGCGAACGCTGAGCGCGTGCTGACGGCGAGCTTCTACACTCTAAGAAAAAAGGGAGGAGAAAGGTAGCAAAAGCGACTGTCCCTCCTTGTTGCGGACAAATTGCCCAGAGAAGGGAGGAACGGCAGTTCAGATGAAAGGAGGAGGATGAGTTCCTCCTTGTTCAGTTGGCGCAGGGGAGAAGGTCCGGACAAAAGCGGAAAGTTGGAAGGGTCGTGAACTCTCGATGTTTGCACGGGCTACTGTATGCAATATTTTTTTGATAGCGAAAGTGTGGTATGTGTTGCAAGCGCTGGCTATGTCGCGTATCAACGTGCAAAAGATACACAGAGTATTTGCAGTTTTTATTTGGGGATCAGTTTGGGAGCGCTCTTCCCGCACGAATTTGTTCCGTTCAGTGCGATGCGGTGGGTTAGGACTGTCTCACCTGTTCATCCGACAAATTGTGTCTCGGTTTATTTTTCTCCGTGATCAAAATGATGTTTTTTTACGCACAGTTATCCAAGTAAGAATGCGAAATATTCTACCAGAGTTTGTGGTGTCATCGAGTACCGAAGCGAGTGGCAGTGTCCGTGGTTACCTGCGAGAAGTTCTTTTATCTTTTAAGATGTTGAAGGTGCGTTTTTCTTTAGAATACCTGAGTAATGTAACGCGAAAGAGGTTGTATAAAGATTTAGTTGACGTCTTATTGCCCGTACCCCTTTACAGATCTCTATATTCGCAGGGAACGGGTCAGGATGTACTAAAAAGAGTTAAAAGAATGCCGATAAAACCAGCGGTTAAATCCTTTTTCTTTGGACTACACAGCGGCACACTCCCTGTGAAGTCGTGGCTTGAGAGTAGGGGGATATTTGTTCCATGGACAACCAACTGCCTGCTCTGTAAAAGACCGGAGACCATAGAGCATGTCTTCATCGAATGCTGGGACGCAGTTTTTTATTGGGATATTCTCCAGCGCACATTAAAAAAGGACTTTCCTGTAACACCGTTCGGTATTCGGTTTTTGCCCATCGAAAATGAAGGTGGGGTTCCGTACGACATGATTATGGTACTCGGTCTTCACAGTATTTGGAAAACGAGAATGGCTGTGCGCCATGCGGACGTCGATGTACGCTCAGTGCGAGAAAACTTTATTGAGAGCGTGGCATACATTCGAACAGTTCTTGCGGCACAGCCTGAACCCCCTGACTGGTTGCCGCTTCTAAAAAAGCTGGTGTGCCTTAAACGATTTTAAATGTAATTGCGCTGGTCTAGCGGAGGTTGTCGGTTTCTCTTTTAACACTCTCATGTGTGTACTTGGTGCAATTGTCAAAACAGGCAATAAAGAAAAAAAAAAAATTCAGTTGGCGCAGGGGTAGAACATCGCGCTACTGACCAAGTGGTCAACGGTTCGATCCCCAGGAAAAAATTTTTTTTTTGTAAAGTTTTTTTTTTTTTTTTTTGTTTACCAAAACACACATAAACAAACCCATCCCGATGAAAGGAAAATTAAAGTCCTTTTTATTCTCCGAGAGGTTTTCCTCCTCCAGGCTGACCGGAGAAAGCTTTCGCCCTCCCGACCCATCTTCTTTCGGTTTCGTTTTTCGAGCATATCGCGCACGTTGTTTAATAAATTAATGTTGAGTTGATTGAGCTTCAGCGGCAGCGAAGGCCGCCTGTAATTCCGTCTTCTAGTCCAAACGTGCAGAACATTTCGGTTGCATTGACGTTTTTACCACTAATTTTATCAAACGAGCTAACGAAGCCGCTAGAAACAGCGAAGTTCCGGAGCAGTGCCAGC